CTGGATTTATTATACCACTTCAAAGTGTCTAGATATCACTTACCTAGGTCGAGGTTCATGACAGTTTCAGTATATCTGTAGTTCCTCAATACGAGAAGTCTTCCTTCCTCTTCTTCACATTTTGTTCGAGCATCACGCCAGGTCAATTTTGTTTTAAATGCCTTGAAGCAAATAGCTTCCTCCGCCCTGACATGTGTGTATCCAGACCGTTCACAATCTGTGTAAATAACTGTTAACTACTGAATGGAGAAAAGTTTAGTAGATATATTCCGTTCATATTGTAAGCTACGTCATTTCCATATCTGTTAGAGTGCCTAAAAATTGAGGTGCAACATGACGTAGATTGTGAACCGTTGCATCACACGTCATAGATGCATAATTCAATAATTATTTAACCAAACTACTATTTAAATATGGAAGTGATAATTATACTCACTGGAAAGTCCTTTGTGGGCCAAAAATGGTTTCCATGACAACAAGTGTGTACCGTTTGGGCAGGCGATACCGGAGAAGAGACGACAAACATTATTCAGGTAAATGAATTCAAACATGAAGCACATGACTATTTGTCCCAAGCAGTATACAGCACATTCTGTAAGAGACACGCCGTTCAGTACATTGATGACGTCACCGCACACCTGGGCTGGGGTAAGGATGTTCTGTTCTCTCCATCCTTCAGTCGTTATTGAAGATACCATCATGTCTGTCATCCTTGATTAAAAGAAGATGTGCTGGAAAAACCAAGATTGAGATTCTTCTCTGTTAAGTGAAGTTGAACCTCCTCAGATCAGCTGACATGAAGATCAGGTTGAAAATATGAGAGAACCTTAAGATTACAGTATGATGCATCTGTATGTAAAATTTTCAAGATGATATATTACAAATTAATGGTAGCATGGAATATAACAATAATGGGATGAAGAGTTATTCACTCTCGTTATAAATTAAAACAATGTTTTTTGCTATCAGTGATAATCATTGGCTATAACGATAAATCAGTTTGCTTCTAAATAAAACTCTGATTTATGTGGACACCACTGTAAAATGTACCGTCACTGAGTTCTGGCTTTTGTTTAGATAACAAACTATTGATGCTATCTAGATACTCAAAGTACCTGGACAAATGGAAATACTGAGTAATAAAAATGGTTTTTAAACAATACAAAGCAAGATTAGATTTACAGATATGAAAAATACTTAAATTTTCTATACAAAACGTGTATGATTATGATGAAAAGATTAACTTACCTGGTCAGATTGGTTCCAGAAGGCCGTCCACGTGCAGAGTAAGGCAAAATTATTAAACTAGTCCAGGCGAAACGTGCATCAATATTGTTAGGGATCAATTTCATTGTGTATCGATCACTCGCTCTTATTATATAATACTATTCATAAGCGTTAACTTGTAATCGATTAGAATCTTATTAGTTTTTGTACCGTTGGTACAATCGTTGCTACAGCCCCTGTAGGTCGACTTATTTGTGTATCTGATTATGTATTTAACCTAATTACGTAATTCTGATAGAAAGTTCCATATACCGTGGTTGCTAATTTCGAGAACAAAAAAAATCCGGAAACTAACTCTCTTTTTTTCCGATATTTCCAATAAAAGTGTTGGATGTTCCATCACGTCCAAGTTTTATGTCATGATTATGTTCTGCATTTTGTTTAATTAATAAAATGTTAACCACCCACGAGCATATTCATTATTCACCACAGACCGGTGAAAATTCTGTTATTAATTTTATTATTCACCACAGACCTGTGAAAATTCTGTTATCACGTAACAAACAACGGAAGAATAAAATATTCAATTTTGTAATCCACTTCAAGACTCGCATATCACATTCGCCGAGACATTCAAACAGAGGATCTCGTTTGATATCAATTACTTAAAGAAGAATCCGCTTATTATTATTTGATGCAGGAATATTGCTATCCAGAAATGGAAAATTCACAATTTGAGTCCCACAAAAATTAGTGATTTTACAGTACGAATACAGGGTATTAGAGTAATCAGAGGTTGGTCATGGTAGACTGCCAAGTACCGATTGTCCGTAAACCTATATCCAGACAGTGTAAGTATTTAATACCAATCTTTGATTACTTCAATCAATAATGATACTAAAGTTTTGACTAAATAACATTGGTAAAATTCATATTACAACCATAATAGTTTAAAACATCTTTTCCAGGGAAAAAAACGGATAAAATAAATCGGAATAGGTAACCTCATGCCCAGTTCATCGACTGTCGTACCGATGGCATAAAACGAAGGGAAGTAACTGTGTATTGTGGGATATCAAACTGGGGTGACCTTCAACAATTTTCGAGGTATTGGAGACAAATGTACAAATCTTCATGAACTCTCTTCGATTACAAATATGCTTGGCGTCATGCTAGTTTGTCAGCTGTTTGTTTGAATTGCGTAAGCAAACTTGGCCTTAACTGAAGACGTTTTGGGTCGACTGTGTTGAAAATTTTTTCTTAACATCTGAATCTGAACACCTTTAAAAAGTAGGTTCCTAGTTTGAAAGGTATATAAAGTTTGGGATCCAAATAACTGACAACACCATGTTGGAGGTTTTGTGAGTTGCTCTTATTGATTTTTTTTTCATGGTGTCTAAAGTATTAAAATGTTTCCTTACCACACCTTCCACTAATCCAAAATCCTGAACCTGCTGCTGATCAGAATATTGCCAACAAGAATTTCATTCAATCCAAATTGGGTCATAATTTTTAGCGATCCCCTATGTTTGGTTAAAATTTTCATAGGATGACCTTGACATTTATTACCCTCTTATTAAATGGCTACTCAAGGTGTGAGACAAGCTCAGGAATTACCAAACTCTAATAATGGATAAACACCATTCTGTAAATCTGTAAATATTTTATGAAAGATTACTTTTGCAAATCTGGGATGAGGAGTCTTCTTCCCAAAATCAAAGCAAAAGAGACAACATACTAACTTAATTTATACAAAATTAAATTAGGTAAAAAACAAAAAAAAAAAAAAAACCAACAGAATTATAGAATGTACCATCAGTTTATTGATAATTTAAATATACATTTTATAATTGTCTTAATACACATTTAACATTCAATTTACAAAAATGCATATATTTTCAAATAGGTAGTAAAAATATCACATTGATTTTGGATGGATTACTTCCATCTGCAAAAAAACTGCAGAAAGTAATGAATGAAACACGACATGAGCCTATTGTTAATGCTTCACGGCCTATGATTTAGCAGTATGGAACTTAACACCAGAGGCTTTGGCTGCTAAAAAAAAGAAATCAGAAACAACAGATAAATTGAAAAAAGAGAGAGAGACAAAGACAGAAAAAAATGAATTTTAAAAGAGTTTTTTTCAATGCATTAGTTGTTTTTCATTTTTCATATGAGTACCTGGTTTTCACAATTATACATTTTTTGTTGATGAAAATTATTAAATGCATACAAACTTCCAATCTTAATTTTCTGTTTGTTTTTTGTGAGATCACTGACAATCAACTTTTCCAGATTTACCAGGTGCTAGTTTTATTTTCTTTGAAAATTGTTAATTTTCTTTCTTTCTTTTTTCGTTTTTTTTTTTTTTTTCTTTTTAAATACAGAACCTAAAGCCAAATCTGGTATTCTGTTCCAGAACAGGCACTTAACTAAGGCAGCTAGCTACAGCACTAAGTAAAGTCACTAATGTTTTCACACTCAAACAGCAGTTTGTTGTTTGAGATTTAAAGGCTAAAGCTCTGACAAACTCTTATTAAGTATTTTACATATCTACATTATCCAAAAGGGAAATTTTCCTGAAACATTGTACAAGTACATTAGATAAATTTTAGTCTTAGATTCAAAGGTTCTGACAAGCTTCAATTTTTTCGTGAAGACTGGATTTTTTTTTTTTTTTTATTAAGCAATTATGAATTCATGAATCAATTTGACATGTAAATTTTCACTTTTCCTGACCACAAATTTGTCTTAAACATGTCAAATACAATGTATACACCTGCATATGATGTGTCATACATGTTTTCAGAACAATATACACATTACACAGAAATAAAAGTAAAGTATTGATGATACAAAAACATGTACAACAAACATCAGTGCATATACATATGAATATTTAAAAACAACAATATCAGCAGTATACTAAGGAACAGCAGTTTCAGTATGGTGAATGATAAAATGATACAAAATTATTTGACATCTTTAATCTATATAATACAAATGTAGCTGATCTTACAAAAAGAAGAACATTTAACCACATAAATAACACATTTCATCACAGACTCTGAACTTCCTCATGTCAAATATTCAAGAGCAATTTTTCGAGAAATTGCTAATTCAAAAATAAATTCAACTTTCAAAAAAATTATAACTTTTTAAATTTGTTTTACAGACTTCTAACAATTCATTATAAATTTGTAACTGACATGAATTCCAATCGTAGATTATTGGTTATATGCACCCTTGAAGTCACAAGGTACCGGTTTAATAAGTAGCCAGAATGGGGCTATACTGCTTTTTATTAAATGGTCCTAAACAGCTAAGATACATGCATTCAACAAAGTTCGTACTGAGAAATTCATCTATATGTGTCCCTTCGACTGAATTATTCTAACCTTCCATGAACTTTTTTATATAGGTCTGGAGTCAAGTCTCCATGTGGGGCAAATATGAAAGAAAGTGACAGAATGTCAGAGTAACTAAGAATATGTATCTCTAGGCTTTACTTTGCTTTTGTTCATTATAAATATCAGTAAATCATATTTTCATATCAATATTGCCTTCTTAATTAGAATTTAAACCATATATCATAAACTTTCAAAACACACAATCTTTTATTCATATTGAATGTCATCTTGATATAAAAATCAATTAATTTTGGCAGAGAAGTAATTAACAAAATATGCTAGTAAACAAAACTGATATTTTGCTTTGTTAAAAAATATCTCCCCTTTTGCCAAAGAATTATGACATGTTCAAATGTTGTTTTAAGAAAGATGTCTTACACCATCTTACTTAGACCACCCCAAAATAAACTATCAACTTTCCAACAAAGCATGCATCTTCTAAATAAGGAATGGCCTGTAATTCGTTTAGTAAAATACAAAAAGTTCTCAAGGTTGTAACCCTTGTAGATGATTTACTGTATCATGGTGGGCGTGGTTCAGTAAATAGGTGTGGTCACACAGCCTTGGAGCTTTTCAACTGTCCAGAGTGCCTGAATCTTCAGTCATGGTATTGTCCTTTTGTTCTGTCTCTTTGGTGGCATCCTCATCCTGTGTTGTTTCAGCCTCCACTGGTGCAGGAGGGGCTGGTGAGGGGGGCTTTGGCGGCTCTTCCTCTTCTGTACCAACAAAATTAGAAAATTCATTAGAATTTTTCCAACAGAAATATTGTTAAATAAATACATAAACTACATAAATAAATAAAAGAAATAAATATATACAAAAGAAGCCATTTTTCAAAATAATAAACATACCAACATATACTGTAAACATGCCTAATTTGGTGTAATCAAGAAATCCAGAAATTGCAAATAAAGTGCAAAAAAAAAAAAAAAACTTTATCACTGAAATATGTATGCTTAGAGTAACTAATTTGAAATAAAGGTGAACTTTTTACAAAACAATGATAGAGAATTTGCTGATGTTTTTACTAGTCTGGAATATGTATAAAAAAGCCAACAGAGAATTTCATTTAGTTACTTGTTGGATTAAAAAGCAGTAAGTATTCCTACATTAAAGACATCTTCATCTTATTTTTTTTATTTTTCCCCACGGAAAAAAAGGTTCTCTTAGCTAGGTGGCCTTTGTTCAAATCCAAACTTTCAAATGAAGCCACAGTTCACATATATGAAAATTTAAATCCAGTATATCAAGTAAATATCTTTAATGAAAAACAAAATGCACAACTGTGAACACTATTTCAAATTACACATATAATCTTGTTCACAAAAAAGGAATAAAGGTGAATTACTTGGTTCAGGGAATGGTTTCTCAAAATCATCTGTTCTTGCACTCTTCCACTCAATCATGCGTTCCAGGGCATTTCTGTGTTCAAGGACGACGTGACCATGGAAGCCTGACATCATTCTGTGTGCCATGGCAATACCAAACTGTACACGATTGGTGTTGATGGCCTCCTTGTCAGAGAGCGTTCGGGAAATATTGTAGGCTTTGCTGAAGTAATCTGTTGCCTCCTCATAACGACCCTGAATCAAACAATGATATTGTGTGACATGTTAAAGATTTATGTAGAACTTGTGTCTTTTCTGACATATTAAGGTGTTGGAATGCATAGGTTTTATCTACTTGTTGGTATCCTTCTTACAATAATCCTTAATCCTTTCCTAAATTTCTAACTTGACAAATTCATCAAATTGATTAGCCAAAATGTCACAACATGTTGGGTTTTTTCTTTCTTTCAATCTCAAGTATTGAGAATGCTAAAGTTTAAAAAAAAAAAAAAAAAATGCTAAAATATTCCACAGTTGTAATATATTCTGAAACTGGCATTAATATTACAGAACAGTAATCTCCATCCAATAGTCTTATTAAATATATTTAGTTTTGCATTTATTTTTTCCCTGGCTTGACTCGGTTGTTAAATGTCATTTCCAAAACCCATAAGCTAGGACTTTGGATTGTACTCCAGTTATATGAATATTCCACATCAAGAATAGAGAAATTTTCATTTTGAATGAAAATTTGTTATCAATGCTTTAAAAGAATCTTCTCGGGGAAAGACGGCATACCAACTTGAATACAAGAATATTGATTATGAAAATAATCACACAAAGGAAAAAATATACTTCTATAAAAAAGGTAGTTAAATAATCACCTGTTGAGGGCCTTTATATTCAAACTATAGTAAGCTTAACCACCAATGCATGACTATCATCTGTGAAGATTAAAGTCCAATGGTGGCCTAAATGCTTTCATACTTGGTGAAATGACTCGTAGTTTCTTTTTTTATTAGAATCAATGATTGTCACTTATAAAACTTGTTAGGTGAAATGAAAATCATAACTCACCAAAGAATTCAGGATATTTCCCAGGTTGTGACAAGCCTTACTGAAAGCTATTTCTTCCCCACTCTGTTCTGTAACCTCCACAAACTTTCTTAGGTATTCAATGCTCTCCTCAAGCTTACCTTGACTACAACAGGAATAGCATATTGACAAAACACCTGGATTTAATGGTCAATCATATCTCCTCAAGACAAAATATACAAGTGTCACTCAAGATGGAAATTTTCTGGTTTACCATAAAAAAAAAAAGAAAGTTTAAATGACAAAGCAAAAAAAATTGGGATTTAAAACATTTTTTTTTTGTCATTTGATTAGGGTAAAGATTATGAAAAGCAGTATATTTCTCATTGAAAAAAAAAAACTGATAATAAAAAAAAGAAATAATATCCATGATTTAACCAAAAAGACTTGTGATAGCTCTAGCTATCAAATTGCTTGAAACAGAATTGAGGAAAAGGTTGTGCTGAAATTTAAAATGGGTATGAATTTATCAATCAGAATTGAATAATGCATACCTGGCATAGGCTTTGGAGATAGCATCACAAGCCTTTCCTATACCCTCACTGTCACCTGATTCATTGCATACATCTAAGAAGTTATTCAGGTGCTGCAACCAATCAATGAGCATATAATAATGAATACACTTTATGTACATATATCTTTCTTGTCATTAAATCTTTAATATTGTCATATACATTAGCTTGACATCAGTGTTATCTCAACTAAAATGTTGGTATAAATTAGGAATGTAATACCAATACATTCATTTTTCAAATATTTTCAGGCCTTTAAAACTTAATGAAAACAAAGATTCTGTCGAACTCGAAACTGAATTTTCTACATAGAAAGTGAACATGGATTATTTTCTTTAGCAATGATTTCTATTGATAATGTTTTAGAAAATTTCAAAGCTGTTAGATTTCTGTAAGAAAGGCATATTTTCATTTCAGAAAGAGGAGTTAAACTTACCACAAGTGCAGATTTGCCATCACCACATTTCTCATGTGACAGCCCAAGTGTGTATGATGCTTGTCCTTCAAGGGACTTGTCATTACCTACAGGATTGAAGTAAAGATAATTTTTGTTAGGACTTACACATACAAGGCAAATAGAAAGAGTCTTTTTTCACCAAGTTATTACATGCTAAAATTACTGAAATGGAAGCAAAACTATAAAAACAACTTAGTGTTTCTATATCAGATAGGAAAGCTACCGTTTACAAGAAATTCATTAACAAAAATGAAATCACTAGATAAATAGTTTATTGTTTTGATTGTCAAGTCTGAATTCTGAAAAGGTTCCGCACTAACAAAAAATAGACTACGTAACCAAATGAAGAAGCTTTGGGTAAAAGGCAACTAGCATTTATCATGCAATAAGTGCCCCCATATTTGGTATTAAGCCAACAAAATATAACTTTCAGTAGAAATGACAACAAATGCTATTTCATTGATACAGGATACAATGTATGACTGACCCACCTACTTTAAGATTGAAGCTGCCTACTATGTATTGTAGGAAAGAAAAGCAGATACATCATTATATGACACAAAACAACACTCACATTCCTTGGCCATGTTAAGAGCCTTCGTGAGGAAGTCCAGTGCCTTTTCTAGCTCCTCTTGTCGCTCCAGGATCAAGCCAATGGTAGTGTAGATTCTCCATAGGTTGATACAGGCATCTGTGTGGAAAGTTACATCATCTGCAGTGATCCACTCCTTGTGATCCACAGCTAATTTATAGTAGGCTTCAAAATGATCCACAGCCTCGTAATTGTCACCTGTGACATAAATAGACAAGTCAGAGGTCATTGAGATGATTTTGTCCTGATCTTTGTAGTTATGAAAAAGAAATGACAAGAGTAAAACCTGTTGAAAGTGGCAGATAATTTCGATGAACTGAGTCATCTTATTACACAGGTTATACTAAATGCACATCATATACAGAGGAATCTTAATTGAAGATCTGGTTAGTACAAGTATTCGGAATATACAGGTCAAGTTTGTATAGATATTGATATTGTAAGCCTGTAACTGACCTGCTACAAGACTTGTTCAATGTCTGTTTTATACAGGTTTCTAGGTAATACAGGTTTAGTTTAGATGGAAATGTATTTGTCTAATTTATACAAGTAATCAGAATATACAGGTTCTATTTACATAGAAATGTACCTAGTATATTGTAGAACCTTGTCGGCTGTCTGGTGTATACAGGTATCCTTTTTATACAGGTATCCAGATCATACAAATATTCAGGTGATACAGGTTCAGTTTACACAGAAATGTATATTGTATGACCTTGTCAGGTGTCTGGTATATATAGGTATTCAGTTTGAACAAGTTCATTTTATGTTTGGAGATATCTTTACAGTGCTATATAGTTTCACTATGTCTAGTTAACTAAGGTTCCAGATAGCAAAGGCTTTCTGAGTATGATGGGTGAATACAGTGGAAATTGTATGTCCCATATATATTAATAATATTTTTGTAAACTTTTCTGATGAATATCAAAATATATAATTATTATATGAAATATATTAAATTATTTTAAGTTTTCTTTGTGTTTAACAAAGATGTAATTTTTCTTTTTATTTCAAAGTCATGAATGGGGAATCTGAAACACAAGCATGTTTTATTTACATTTTTGTTTGAAGAAATGACTACTTAAATGCGAGAAAGCTAAATTTCTTTTAATATGTGTATTAATGTTTGTGAAATTTGAAGAAACAGAGACAGGCATTTAGACAAATGATGTGACAGATGTTGAAATCCCGTTACTTTCTATATTAAATCATGGAAAAAATAAAAAAAAAAAAAATAAAGCAATTTACCATTCTCTTCATAGGACACCCCTACATTGTAGTGACCTTGGGCCTGCATCTTTCCATGGTCACCTTTGACCTCCATACTTGTTTGTAAACAAGTTGTGAAGAAGTGATCTGCTAGCCATTTATCATCCCTCATTGACTGAAAATACCGGGCTAACTCGTACCTGTTTCTGTACACTTCAGCAAAGTCACCTGTAATACCAACAAACAAAGTCAGACACATCCTTATATACATGCCCGATAATAGGCAAATCAATTTCAGCAAATACCATTTCAATGTCTTGTAATAAGCCAAGTCTTCCTGACTATGAATCATAGGTAATGTGCTGCACCCCTTGGGTCCTGTAATAAGCCCATCCCTGACTTTGAGTTGGAGGTAATTAACATTTCTGCAACAACATTTTAGCAGTATTAAATGTTCTTTTGTTTACAACAATAAGTTTTTGAGTAAGTTATGTGTAACGTCTTTATGGGGTTTTATTATCTTGCAATAATAAAAAAAAATATGTTTATTATTACCTTTTCTATAAGCTTCCTCTGCTTTAGTTAAATGCACTTTTAACATGTCCAGTTTTGCATGTTGATCTTTTAACAAAGTCATTGTCCACATGAGAGATTCTGGGCCTCTCTCAAGGCGCTCTTCCTCTTGCTGTTTTATTAATGCAAAAAGTTCACTAAATGATTTATGATAACCTTCTTGGAGCATGTCCAAACACAGATTATGCTTGTATGTATTCCTGTAGCTGAAATCAGAGAAACAGAAAAGATTTTAAATAAGCTTGGTGAAATTGAAGGGAAGAAGTTGTTCTCTAAATTCAGTTTCTTTTTTAAGAATGCATCTTACAATCCCTAGAACATATTTATATATTATTTTTTTTGCCTAAATATCACTTAAAGTAAGTTTTAAGCCTCAATATTTTTAATTGAAAATAACCCTACATGTTTTATGAAAGTTAACGTGTGAATAATACATGCAATATAAAAACAGACTTATTTTCTGGACGAAAATACTATACTAAACTAGACTAAATGTGGGCCCACAAATCCATAGCATTGCACTTGCAGCATATGAATCTAAAATCAATCTTTAATTGATAATAAAACAACATCTAACTCTTAAGGAAACCTTGGTTAATGAGTTTAAGAAAATTTTAGCATGGTTGTGCATACAGAACGAAGAAATGGAAAATTAAGGGACAGTATGAAAGAAATAAAGGTGAACCCATCATTAGGAAATGTATTTGATGTTACTTTTTTCAAGTGATTACTTACAAACAACAATATCACTCCAAGTTGTAAAATACCTCCTCATGTAATGGGATAATTATCAACTACACAAACATACCTGGCTGTTTGCCTTTTGGAAAGATCGGGTTGTTGTTGTCGAAGTATATCATGTTTGACAAATATATCTCTGTCTGGGGTCCCAGGAACTTTACGAAGTGGTTTAAGTTTCTTTCCACTAGGTGGTCCTTTGGGAGGGGAGGGCATGAAGTGCTGTACATTCTGCCCTTTCCTGCTCCCTGCAGACCCATTGATCGGCGGCAGAGTGGCCGCCATGGTGGCCCTCACTGAAACAAACATAGTATTGTAAACACAATGTTACTTATTACTTGACCTGATATTTGACACTGACATATGTTTTACGAAGTGATAGTTTAATATTAGTATGTACTAGATCATTGTGATTAAGTGAACACAATAATAGGTTTGAAAAATATTGGTGCACCACCACCAGCGTGTTAGGCTTCCTCTGTCTTATTCCCCAAATGTTACTCGTTTTGTTAGACAGATATCTGGTGTGGTCATCTGTCCATCCAAATGCCTCAAACATCTCATGTAGGTGCCAATGAAAACCTTGACTACATCACCACATCAGTTGGTGCTGCAGGCTCAGTGTATTATTTTCATTAGCCGATGCCTGAATTGAATTCTTCTAGATAATTTTACAATCGTGTCAGCTTAATGGTATCGATATTTATGTTAGTAATGCTATGAAAATGCGACATCAGTTTACAGTCAATAATCTAACAACACTTAAAAGTATTTGCAAACATATTATACAACATTGTCAATGACAGTCCAAAACAATCTGCAAAATTTATGTCAACAGTTCATAACAACGTAATTAAGTACACTGCAGTGTTTACATTTCAAACACGCCTTTAACAATGTACGCCACTGTCTACAACAGTTAGATATGCAGGAGGTATTTCATATCGATACCTCACAATCATGAAATAAAGTTTGAGGAACGAAATAATTTTCATAAAAATAGGCTAGAAACAAACGAGACGAAACATTTTGTTTTGATTTTACAACAGTGAGCGTTATGCATTTGTTATCTACTTTCTTATTTTGTGAATATATATCACGAATAAGCCTCATTTACCTCCTAAACACGAGTTGACGTTATACAGTGCAAGTCAACGGCTGCCATAAGTTTTTCGTTGCTAGGACAACAACAGATGCGCAGTGAATATAAGTATGGCACAAACATGTTTTCATATCCTGAAAATAGTGATATCATCAAATATCGAGCTAAAACGATATATTTGATTAACTGCTAACTTATAACATCGCAATTTTGTTCGAATCTTTATGCGAATATTAATTCCATTCCTCTCCGAGACTACGGGCACCTCACTGTAAACTTCCGGTTGAATAATATTGTTGTTCCCGTTCCATGTGTAGGTACTGACCTGGATCTTCACAGTTTATTCAGGTATATTTGTCTATCACACACAAAGTGGTGGTTAAGGCAAAAGACGTTCATACGTACGTTGGAATTATAATTATAGTCTTAAATGCCAGTATCGTTATCTCTTATACGGTATACATAGTTGCAGTCGGCTACAGGACCGTGAATAAGGACGAGACGAACATTGATACATTACGTTAAATGTCACAAATTTAGCTTTTGTTCTGGTGATGATTATGAAAATTTCAAATTCGTGAATTCTTTTTTAGTGAACCACTTTCCCTGATTATTAGGGCCGAAAACAAATAGGCCTAACAGCGAAAAAAAAACCGGCATACCCCTGCTGTGTTTGTATACCATTTTGCTTCAAATTAAAGTACTTAACAAGTCTTTTCCAAATGATTAGTAGTAAAAAGTAATTTTGGTATTGAACATTTAACTCTCATGATAAATAATGTCTTTCCATTTTTTTATAGGCAAATCAAATATTTAATTCATTTATATTTTATGAGCAACTGAAATATTACCATGCATTATTTATATAGCACTCTACTTTCAGCATGAAATATGAAGACTTTTTTCCTTTGTCAGTTGCATTGAAATATAAATGATTTTCCATTTATTCCTATTTTGTTGTTACAAAAAATGAATGGGATTCACTTTTCATTGGGTTACAAAATGGCTTTGTCAAGGTGGTAAGTACAAGGCCAGCCTAGAAGTGACATGTGTAGACAATGTTGCACACAATATGTATATGTAAAGTAAAAAATTGGAAAACTTATGCTGCTGTGAAAATTACTAACATCATTTGCCGTAAATATCTTTGATATCCATACTCAAGAATGACCTTTGACCTTACAGTGAAAAAACACAATGACATCCTCATCATATTGGGGTGAACTACCCAGTCTCCCTGATACAGATTCAGGAATTGCAGCCATCGAAAGGGAACAGATGACAAAACCTCGCCCAATGGATGTGGAGGGTCCAAGACTACACCAGCCATCTAGTAGACACCATCCTCCAACTAATGAGTACGTATCCTTATACCCCTGTCCTCACTCGTACAATAAGTATGTATCCTTATACTGCTATCCTCACTTGTACAATAAGTATGTATCCTTATACCCCTATCCTCACTCGTACAATAAGTATGTATCCTTATACCCCTGTCCTCACTCGTACAATAAGTATGAATCCTTATACTGCTATCCTCACTCGTACAATAAGTATGAATCCTTATATCCCTGTCCTCACTCATACAATAAGTATGAATCCTTATACCCCTGTCCTCACTCGTACAATAAGTATGTATCCTTGTACACTTGTCCCTCCTCTATAACAAGTATGTATCTATTTACTCCTGTCCCCACACCTACAATAAGTAAGTAGCAAATAAATAATTTTTAGTTATTTTACAACAATTGCGAAGCAAGTTTTTCCAACTTATATTAATCAGTCTTGTTGGCCCAGATGGAAGCGCGAGAAAAGTCTTAGTGTGGGAGAAAACTGGAGTACTCGGGAAAACCCACGTGGTCAGACAGGTGATCCCATACCTTTTGACATCCATTTCGGGAATCAAACCCCAGACGGCTAGGTGAAAGGCAAGTGCGTTACCACTGCACCGCTCGACCACCTTCCATGAACCCCTGTCACCACACCTACAATAATAAGTAACCATGTACCCCTGTCCCCAGAACATCCATTGACAGTGTTATGTTACGATATCTCAGATTTACATCCTTCATGTAGAAACACCTTTTAATGGGTGACATACAGTATGCTTACAAATACAGTTGCTTAAATTGCAGCTATTTTGAACTTGTGTATTTTTTTAAATTAAGTAGTATTTACTGAAGTGAACCCTTTGGCCTGGTTCTATGATACAGCTCAGTTAGATAGAACAATGGCCAACATACACTCAGGTGAAGATCTGAGATGACACTGTTTTGACACTTCCTTTCAGTTTGTGTTTCTCAAGAAGCTAAGGAAAAGCCAAGTCTTTGTTGACATAGTTGTGTCCTAGGGCAATGAGTCTCTCGTATGTTGTTCAATGGGGTAGCCAACATCTACTACAAGGAGAAACTGCCTTAAAATTATCCTGGTGTTTCATGGAGAGACAAATCAAGCAAATTTGCCTGGGTTTTTTTTTTTTTTAGACTTTTGCAGATGTCTTAATTCAGATGTAGAGCTTGTACATGTATGTATATAGGTAAATGTTTGATTGCAAAATTACTTTTCTAAACATCAAATAATAACTTTGAAACTTAGTGAAATCATTGTCATTATATGTTACAGTCCCTTACCGAGTGAAAAATTTGAGATGGATCCTATCGTCATGCACACCATTAGACTTGTCCAACATGCCAAGAAACTCCGACAACTTATCTCCAGTGTCCAACAGCAACAGGAAGCTGTAGTATGTACTTAATCTCATGTTTCTAAGCATGTTTTGTTTCATTCCTTTGGTTTTTCAGTGAGGTAGCCATCAGCTGCTACAAGAAGACCCCACCTCAAAATAACCCTGATTATCCATGAGACGATAAATCCAGCAAACAAACAAAACAAAACAAACGAACCATTCCTTTAATAAATGAACATTAATGTTCGTTTGTTTGAATTCAGAACAAGATTAACTGCAATTACCTTATTAGGCAGTCTTTTTTACTAATGTGCTATCTATACTACATCCAGTTCAATCCAAGGGTTGCAGTGCAATATGGCTGACATTCAAGCGTTTACTTCAAACAAAATGCTTTATAAAATTCATTTATATTTCTTTTTATTGTTTGCAAGTACACATGGAATTATTTATTTTTTCCTAGACATTACTTACACATAGCAAGAATTTTATGCATTAAATACAAATCTTTTTACTTACGATGGTAGTTCAGTTTTTTCCACTATCTGTACTAAAACTCATGAAGATATGGAAATTGAAGTAAATGAATAAGCTTCTTTCTTATTTTGGAATGTGGCTTACTTTAATTCTGACAGTTCAGACACCATGTTATAGACAGTAAGGCAACAGAAATATACAACTTTTTATTTCACCTTAAAATGTCTTATAAATTTACAGTTGGAAAAGTATTGTCAAAAAGAGGCCTCAGGCTAAAGAAGAACAATTGAAAGATTTGAATTACAAATATATGGAATTTTCAAGATGTAGACAAGTATATAAAAAAGGGAAAAAAGAATCTAATGTAATCTTGGTTGTTTTGTTTTCATTTTGTCTGGAGATTAAGATTTTTGGGTCAGTACCTTAACTTTGTTGAACATGTTTTAATTTGTAGAAAAATGGAGAGAGTGAGATAACTTATCCTGTTACACCACCTATCCCAGAATTCACAGGTTCAGGACCAAAACATAAAGTTCAGGGGCCAGTGCCATTTATGCCAAAGGAAATGGAAAGGTTTGTCAAAAATGCATGTAATATAGGACAGTCCTGACTTTGGGACAAAAGTATTTTGAATGTATTAATAAGAAACAAATCATGGTTATGGGAATAAGGGACCAGTAATTCTGAAAGTTAAATCATGTATACATGACTTAAAGTTAGTGAGATCTCCGATACCTCTTGATCTCTTTAATTTGGTCCAGTTTATTTGAATATGTGCTGAATTGTTTTCATATTTGATGATTGAAAGAGAATTTTCTATGATATATAGCTTGATAATTTGCATGATAGTGTATTAACTCATAAAAGCAAAAATTTTTTCATTTAGAAAAAACATCTTTATTGGTATACTCTTGTTGTCAAGTTTTATAGTTCAGAGTTTGTCTTTTCACTTTTAGGTTTATAGAAGCCATTTTTTTTATCTAATGTTGTCTAATTATGAAAAAAAATTGAATCATCTTAACATTTAAGGAGTGGCATATTGTTAACATAAAAATGTTATGATAAGAAATGGACATGTTAAATATCAATTCCACAGTGACTTTGTGAAGGGCATTGGTGAACCACCCCCAGAGATTGATGATCTCGCTTGTAGGAAACTTCTGCGGAGATCAGTATCAGCTGTGTGTGCACATACTGGTTATGACAGTAGGTATCACTATAAAGATTTGGAAAGCTAAACAAATACCTACAATTACTTACATCATTCTTCAGACTTGTCTCAGAACAGTTACCTGTCTTTTACTTCAAGTACCCATACATAGTTTTGTATGCTCTAATTTTAGTCAATTTCCAGATACAAACAGAAAAGTGCAATGATGATTTGGTACACCCTAAATCTTGATGCTTTCAAAATCTCCATAGAAAACAATTCCAGAATTTACGATCAGCACAACCACAACACTAAATACAATATTTTTTTAATCACTGGGTGGAGGCAAAACGTCCTACAATCCATCATATTTAGTAAATTTTCCGGGAACTTCCATGGATACAAAAAGTATACAGAGTCCTCACTAAAAAAGGGTAGAATGTAGGTCAAGATCAAAGTGCCCACTTTTTATCTGAAACATGTCAACAACTTGATGCATAAATAAACTGTGAATTGGGAAGGAGCTGTTCGTGTTGTCATCACCCTTGTCCTACCATAATTTTTTATGTTAGAAAGTCGAAAATAAGATCACCATGAAAATATCAATTATTGCATGTTGTGATATGATCTACAGCTTACAATACAAACATAATTCAATTACACCTTACAATACAAATATAGTTAAATTACACTTTAAAATACAAATGGAGTTAAATAATAGCTAACAATAAAAGTATTGTTAATCTACACCTTACAATACAAAGTTTTGTTAAATTACAATTTTACAATACAATGTTTTGTTAAATTACAATTTTACAATACAATGTTTGTTAAATTACAATTTTACAATACAATGTAATGTTAAATTACAATTTACATTACAAATATAATGAAATTACAGCTTACATTACAAATATAATTAGATGACAGCTTACATTACAAATATAATTAGATGACAGCGTACATTACAAATATAATTAGATGACAGCTTACATTACAAATATAATTAGAGGACAGCTTACATTACAAATATAATTAGATGACAGCTTACATTACATATATAATTAGATGACAGCTTACATTACAAATATAATTAGATGACAGCTTACATTACATATATAATTAGAGGACAGCTTACATTACAAATATAATTAGAGGACAGCTTACATTACAAATATAATTAGATGACAGCTTACATTACAAATATAATTAGATGACAGCTTACATTACAAATATAATTAGATGACAGCTTACATTACAAATATAATTAGATGACAGCTTACATTACAAATATAATTAGATGACAGCTTACATTACAAATATAATTAATTAGCTTACATTACAAATATAATTAGAGGACATTACAAATATAATTAGCGTACATTACAAATATAATTAGAGGACAGCTTACATTACAAATATAATTAGATGACAGCTTACATTACAAATATAATTAGAGGACATACATTACAAATATAATTAGATGACAGCTTACATTACAAATATAATTAGATGACAGCTTACATTACAAATATAATTAGATGACAGCTTACATTACAAATATAATTAGATGACAGCTTACAGCTTACATTACAAATATAATTAGATGACAGCTTACATTACAAATATAATTAGATGACAGCTTACATTACAAATATAATTAGATGACAGCTTACATTACAAATATAATTAGATGACAGCTTACATTACAAATATAATTAGATGACAGCTTACATTACAAATATAATTAGATGACAGCTTACATTACAAATATAATTAGATGACAGTTTACATTACAAATATAATTAGATGACAGCTTACATTACAAATATAATTAGATGACAGCTTACATTACAAATATAATTAGAGGACAGCTTACATTACAAATATAATTAGAGAACAGCTTACATTACAAATATAATTAGATGACAGCTTACATTACAAATATAATTAGATGACAGCTTACATTACAAATATAATTAGAGGACAGCTTACATTACAAATATAATTAGATGACAGCTTACATTACATATATAATTAGATGACAGCTTACATTACAAATATAATTAGATGACAGCTTACATTACATATATAATTAGAGGACAGCTTACATTACAAATATAATTAGATGACAGCTTACATTACAAATATAATTAGATGACAGCTTACATTACAAATATAATTAGATGACAGCTTACATTACAAATATAATTAGATGACAGCTTACATTACAAATATAATTAGATGACAGCTTACATTACAAATATAATTAGATGACAGCGTACATTACAAATATAATTAGATGACAGCTTACATTACAAATATAATTAGAGGACAGCGTACATTACAAATATAATTAGAGGACAGCTTACATTACAAATATAATTAGATGACAGCTTACATTACAAATATAATTAGAGGACAGCTTACATTACAAATATAATTAGATGACAGCTTACATTACAAATATAATTAGATGACAGCTTACATTACAAATATAATTAGATGACAGCTTACATTACAAATATAATTAGAGGACAGCTTACATTACAAATATAATTAGAGGACAGCTTACATTACAAATATAATTAGAGGACAGCGTACATTACAAATATAATTAGAGGACAGCTTACATTACAAATATAATTAGAGGACAGCTTACATTACAAATATAATTAGATGACAGCTTACATTACAAATATAATTAGATGACAGCTTACATTACAAATATAATTAGATGACAGCTTACATTACAAATATAATTAGATGACAGCTTACATTACAAATATAATTAGATGACAGCTTACATTACAAATATAATTAGATGACAGCTTACATTACAAATATAATTAGATGACAGCTTACATTACAAATATAATTAGATGACAGCTTACATTACAAATATAATTAGAGGACAGCTTACATTACAAATATAATTAGATGACAGCTTACATTACAAATATAATTAGAGGACAGCGTACATTACACATATAATTAGATGACAGCTTACATTACAAATATAATTAGATGACAGCTTACATTACAAATATAATTAGAGGACAGCTTACATTACAAATATAATTAGATGACAGCTTACATTACAAATATAATTAGATGACAGCTTACATTACAAATATAATTAGATGACAGCTTACATTACAAATATACATTACAAATATAATTAGATGACAGCTTACATTACAAATATAATTAGATGACAGCTTACATTACAAATATAATTAGATGACAGCTTACATTACAAATATAATTAGATGACAGCTTACATTACAAATATAATTAGATGACAGCTTACATTACAAATATAATTAGATGACAGCTTACATTACAAATATATATAATAGATGACAGCTTACATTACAAATATAATTAGATGACAGCTTACATTACAAATATAATTAGACATTACAAACATTATATATAATTAGATGACAGCTTACATTACAAATATAATTAGATGACAGCTTACATTACAAATATAATTAGATGACAGCTTACATTACAAATATAATTAGATGACAGCTTACATTACAAATATAATTAGATGACAGCTTACATTACAAATATAATTAGATGACAGCTTACATTACAAATATAATTAGATGACAGCTTACATTACAAATATAATTAGATGACAGCTTACATTACAAATATAATTATAATTAGATGACAGCTTACATTACAAATATAATTAGATGACAGCTTACATTACAAATATAATTAGATGACAGCTTACATTACAAATATAATTAGATGACAGCTTACATTACAAATATAATTAGATGACAGCTTACATTACATATATAATTAGATGACAGCTTACATTACAAATATAATTAGATGACAGCTTACATTACAAATATAATTAGATGACAGCTTACATTACATATATAATTAGAGGACAGCTTACATTACAAATATAATTAGAGGACAGCTTACATTACAAATATAATTAGAGGACAGCTTACATTACATATATAATTAGATGACAGCTTACATTACAAATATAGTTATTTATTTCATTCTATTTTGATTAAGGCACAAATGAGTCAATCTTAGAGACACTGACCGACATCACACATGAGTATTTCCAGCAGCTGACCACTCACCTCTGTACTGCCGTAGACAACCGACTCCTACAAGGATATAATAGTTTTCCGGTATGTTACATACATCCATGCTTACAGTATATGTGTTCACTGTTGATCTATAGTCCAGTTCAGACATTATGGGTTATCAAATTCAGCTTCAGTAAAATCTTTCATTCCCACTAAAGATCCGTCACTATAACTGTAAAGGTGAAACCAAAATACTGTACAGAAACAAATGTTTTATATAATGTGATTATACAGTAAACCCTGTCAAATCTGATCACTGTGTTAATTGACATCCTGTGTAATCTGAACCCTAATTTTACATTATTTCAAGACCTGCATATCCTGACTAGTTCTAGTTGGCCAATATGTTGTTGAATATGTCACTTTTCACATTTAAGTAATCACATGAATGGTATCAAATAACAGATACATAGAAAATTGTAGTAAATTAGTATCTTAAGAGGAGGTCCCATTGTACAGTACTTTAATACTAGGTAACACCAGAAGGAAAAAATAATTCTTTTTAAAAAGGAAATAGTCAACTTGTTTATAGATATACATATAAAAACTGATTTAATTGAAATTTATTGATCATATTTGTGATTGGAACTCTTTTGAAAGGAGATACATTAACACATTGATAACATAACTTTCATTTGACTGTTTTAGGATGTTGTTGAAGAGGTGTTCCACCAGATGGGGATTGGTAGTGTGACCACACTCCATAGTTTCTATCAAAGTCATATTATAAACTATCAAAAAAACATGGAACAGACTTGTCAGCAGCTTGTCACAGAGTATGAGAAGATGAAATTACCAACCATGATCAAGATGGAGACTGTGCCAGTCATCAGGTGAATTAAACAGCGGGTTGTTTAGATTATATATATATATATATAGATTAACATGGTCCTTTTCTTTGATAATTCAACATTTTGATAATTTGAAAATTATTGTTGTGATCATCAGATTACACATATCATGTGCCTCGTCTTGTTGTTAAAAGTTTAAAAGTTTGAAGTGTTGTCAATGCAACTGAATACTATAAAGTTTGATTTGGTTTGTAGTGTTGTCAATGCAACTGAATACTATAAAGTTTGATTTGGTTTGTAGTGTTGTCAATGCAACTGAATACTATAAAGTTTGATTTGGTTTGTAGTGTTGTCAATGCAACTGAATACTATAAAGTTTGATTTGGTTTGTAGTGTTGTCAATGCAACTGAATACTATAAAGTTTGATTTGGTTTGAAGTGTTGTCAATGCAACTGAATACTATAAAGTTTGATTTGGTTTGTAGTGTTGTCAATGCAACTGAATACTATAAAGTTTGATTTGGTTTGTAGTGTTGTCAATGCAACTGAATACTATAAAGTTTGATTTGGTTTGTAGTGTTGTCAATGCAACTGAATACTATAAAGTTTGATTTGGTTTGTAGTGTTGTCAATGCAACTGAATACTATAAAGTTTGATTTGGTTTGTAGTGTTGTCAATGCAACTGAATACTATAAAGTTTGATTTGGTTTGAAGTGTTGTCAATGCAACTGAATACTATAAAGTTTGATTTGGTTTGTAGTGTTGTCAATGCAACTGAATACTATAAAGTTTGATTTGGTTTGAAGTGTTGTCAATGCAACTGAATACTATAAAGTTTGATTTGGTTTGTAGTGTTGTCAATGCAGCTGAATACTATAAAGTTTGATTTGGTTTGAAGTGTTGTCAATGCAACTGAATACTATAAAGTTTGATTTGGTTTGTAGTGTTGTCAATGCAACTGAATACTATAAAGTTTGATTTGTAGTGTTGTCAATGCAACTGAATACTATAAAGTTTGATTTGGTTTGTAGTGTTGTCAATGCAACTGAATACTATAAAGTTTGATTTGGTTTGAAGTGTTGTCAATGCAACTGAATACTATAAAGTTTGGTTTGGTTTGTAGTGTTGTCAATGCAACTGAATACTATAAAGTTTGATTTGGTTTGTAGTGTTGTCAATGCAACTGAATACTATAAAGTTTGGTTTGGTTTGTAGTGTTGTCAATGCAACTGAATACTATAAAGTTTGATTTGGTTTGTAGTGTTGTCAATGCAACTGAATACTATAAAGTTTGATTTGGTTTGTAGTGTTGTCAATGCAACTGAATACTATAAAGTTTGATTTGGTTTGTAGTGTTGTCAATGCAACTGAATACTATAAAGTTTGATTTGTAGTGTTGTCAATGGAACTGAATACTATAAAGTTTGATTTGTAGTGTTGTCAATGCAGCTGAATACTATAAAGTTTGATTTGGTTTGTAGTGTTGTCAATGGAACTGAATACTATAAAGTTTGATTTGTAGTGTTGTCAATGCAGCTGAATACTATAAAGTTTGATTTGGTTTGTAGTGTTGTCAATGCAACTGAATACTATAAAGTTTGATTTGTAGCAAATAAATCAACAAAATTATTGATGTTATGATTTTGAATTAATTAACAGAGATTAATTTCATAATTTGTTCCCTTATACCTATACTAATTCATATAAATAAAGAGTTGAATATAACAATAACATTACTTTAAATCTGAATATTCCAAAAAAAAATATGTGTTTTGATATAATGCCCAAACTTCACATATCTTGATTTTTTGTTTTTTTTTTGTTTGATATGTTTGTAAATTTGATATTTAATATTATCTTAAAAATGTAAAATAATTAACTGACAACATGTTTTTCGCAATTTTCACTCTCGAAACTAAAGGATTAAAGAAGAACCATGTTCAGAAATTCAGTTTCCAGTTCTGGATGAGAATGATGAGATCAATGATGCAGAACAGTTACTACAGTTGGAAGGTGAGCACATGTTAAGAATAAATCACCTGTATCACTTGTGTCACAGATTTGAGTAACTTCTAATTAAAAATTAGACTTAATCATATCAACCATATTTCATAATGCATGTACTGTCCTACTAAATCTAGAGAGCCATTCCAGATAGGTTTGAAGAAAAGATGGTGATTTTGCATTTATTAACTGTATCAACCATAATTAATTTTTTAACTCTGGGGGCTGGAAATTTCTGGTACATATATATTTGCATCATAATTATAGATATAGATAGTGAAATTCATTCATCATGGCTTTAAGTTATCAAAATATCTATCTGCTAAACGAAGATGGAAACATACTAATGACAGCATATCATATAAGGTGACATAGCAGAAAGCCAATATCCAGTATTTTGAAATTTTCAGAAGTTCTGTTATAAATATTTAATTGTCTACTTCCATGAGGTTATGTAAGATTTATAATTACTAGCAGTTAAGTTTAGATTAAGATTTCAAAGGTAGATAACTCTGTCATTACAGCTAAATCAGTGCTTAGTAGACAATATGCTTACAACTACGGCATGGTTGTGTTTTGATCAAATGTTTCAAAAATTGGTACAATGGATACATTAGAAGCTGAAAGGTATCTGTAGGATGTATATCTTGCATCATACATTAGTACATTTGCACTAGTGTGAAAAAAATGGCTGTCTATAATCCCCATTGCTTGTCATCACTGCGGAAGCAATCTTCTCGCCACATCACATAGCTGTCTTTAATCCTCATCACTCATCATTGCTGCAGAAACAATCTTCCCACAACATCTCTGGCCAGGATCGCTGCATGGATATAATCCTTTCAGCTTGACAGCTGTGTGTGTACAGAATCACCTCAACTCTACTCTATATTTCTATGAGGAGCAATTATTTTGGCATATGTCATCAGACATTATTCAACACAGCAAATATTGAGCAACAAACTGTTGAAGTTTCTATAGTATAAAGGCTTATCAATTTTGTCTGTTTCTATAGTATAAAGGCTTATCAATTTTGTCTGTTTCTATAGTATAAAGGCTTATCAATTTTGTCTGTTTTAACCAACTCCACAATACAGCTTATATCTTAAGACATTGACCATTTCTTTTCTATTTTCTTTTTTTATTTGGTGTACTAGAATTGTTTCAATTTGACAGGTCTGAGTGGATTTGAGATAACAGTTGAACATGAATCAACAAGTGGCCTGACAACAGAAATGGATTCTAAATGGCAGGGTGTGAAGTCTGAAGCTGCTGAAGGAGGCACAAAGTAGGTATAGATAGGTATTCTGTATAGTTGGTAAAACTAACAGAGGATTAAATTTCATTATATTTACAGCCATGATGATCACATGTAATTAAAAACCAAGCAAAAATATTTTTCAGGTGTGGAAAAAACTGCTTACAGTTTAAGTTAGTGTTCTGCAAAATTCCAATGAACTTCCCAAGCAGGAGCAGCCAAAAATATTATAACCTCGAAATTAAACTTCTGTACCATAGTAAAATGAAAATAATCCAAGTGTTATTTGGTATTTGCAGTCATGCATTGTAATATTATATTGCCAAATGAGTGACAAATGAGACAGTTTTAAAGTGTTCTGGTATATTTCTATGCAGCACGAAGGGAGAGCATATAGTCTCTGCTTTGTCAATCTGTCTGTCATAATTTTGGCAGGAGCATAACACAAAAACTATTAGAGGTATCAACATAAAATTTCATAAGTAGATATATTATAACAAGGAAACAATCACCATTTTTTTTACATAATTTAGGAGTTAATGTCCTTTGTTATTTTTCTCTAAAGGCCCTTGTTTCAGTCATTGCTAGGCTTTTGACATTTTTAATTTTGTTTCAAGTTACATCCCAGTGTTAACATGTCTAATAATTTCCGAATCATTTGAAGATTCTGATATGTCTGTGATTGCATTTTCAGCTCACGTCTCAGTTTCGATGTGTTTGATGAGCCTGGAAGCGTAAAGCCACCACGGACACCTGCCCAGCTGAGTGAGGGTGGGGACAGTATTACTGACCCTGCCTCCATCCCTGGCTCTGACATCATGTCTCCCCCATCCATCACCTCACGACCAAGTAAACCAAAGAAAAGGTTAGGGTCACAGATTTTGCTTGATTTGACAATGTTTTTTAGTTGTTTGTATTTATCCAGTGATAAGCTCATGCCTTGCAATAAGTCAACCCATGTTTTAATGCTGTCTAGAAGCATTGGCATTAAAGACTATTTCACTGTCCTTTGAGAAGCCCACACCCTTGAATATGTGTCAGGGTGTATATCTTGACCCCCTGGGCTTGTGAATGGATACATACACTATGATTCAGTCTTACTATCATGATGTTGTCTTGTCCCAATTTAAGGTTTAGTTTGAAATAACGTTTTAATTTTTAACTGGTGAATAATCAGTAACATTTGAAAGTTAAAACATAACAATTGTTACAAATTTGAAGTGGTTTAACTGTAGAATATATCTCAGACATATCAATGTGTTATTATTGATAGGTGAAAAGAAAAAAATGGAACCAAAGTTGTATGATATAATCATGTTAAAATGAGGAGTTTTTGATAGGAAGTAGAATTTTTATTTTGAAATATTAAGGTACATGAACATGTCTCAATCCTAAATAATTTTGTTTTGGTTGTAACTACAGGAAAAAGTGAAGAACTTGTGAAGTCAGAGACGAAACATCAGCCATGGATCCAAGCCATTGTGATACCGCAGTGTCCATGTTCTATGGGACTACCGGCATACACTCTGTCATTGAGCAGTACACAGTCAGTGCACATGATGATGCTAGTGTTGTGTGATACTGGTTGTGAAGGTGATAGAATTCAGGTCAATATAATTATACTGTTTTGTATAGCAGTATACATTCAGTGTACCTTATGCTACAAGTGGATTATGTCCGGGTTGACAACAAAGCTGTTTTGTGTAGAAGTATACATTCAGTGTACCTTATGCTGCAAGTGGATTATGTCTGGGTTGACAACAAAGCTGTTTTGTGTAGAAGTACACATTCATTGTACCTTATGCTACAAGTGGATTGTATCCAGGTTGACACAATGCTGTTCATTCAGTGTACATAATGCTACCTGTTGATTAAGTTCCAGTTGATGAGAAAGCTGTTTTACATAGCAGTACACACATTCAGGTTACTTTTATATGCTACAAGTGAAGTACACAGTTTTTAACAGAAGTGTCTAGATTAACAAATGTGTTGTTTTTCTTTGTTTTTGTTTTACTGCAGTATACAGTTAATGTGTATCTTATGGAATGTGATGAAGAAAAGTGCTGCAATGAAATGTCAGTAAGACAGACGTTAATATGCTTATTGCTGGTACAATCAGAACACTGTAAATTTACTACACAATAGCAGTATACTCTCAGTGATACAGCAGGATTTAACTGAAGTGCATTGTACTTGTAGGGGCGTATGTGTACTTCATGATCAGTTCAAGCGATTTGCACACACAGAAGTAAATTATTTTGCTAAATTGATCTGTATAGCAACACCTAAAGACATAATGCTGTAACTTCAAGCAAGTTTCACACACACAAACATAAACTGTTGAAGAAATATTATGTCAGTACCTTTGAAATAATATTTAGTGCAGGATGACAAGAAAGTACTGGGCATGACATGATTGGTGGGATAATAATAAGAGATCTTGGATAACAGGACATTGATAATTACTGTAAACATACATATTTTGTGGAATCAAATTTTATCACAACACTATTTTTTAAAAAATAAGCACAATGGTGAATTGTGGCATGCATAATAATGGTTATAACTAATGACAGAAATTGGAAATAGTGCAGTCATTTTTTTTAGCTTTTTCAGCTTGAATAAGATTACTGCTGAAATGTTACCGTTTATATCGACATTCATGGATGGGATAACAACAAGCATTAGGAAGACTCACAGAGATGGAAAACCTGTAACCAACCAAACAGCAATACATAGAAGTATATCTGACTTTGGCATATTCACACAGGTGCTGTGTTTTCCTTGCAGGTTTTAACCTGAACATTATAGAATGTATAAAAACTTGTTATTCAAATTTAAAAAGAAAAAAATCGAAGTATTTTCAAATATGATATTGAAAAACTACTTTAAAAGATCCAGCATTAAAGAAATTTGATACTTTGAATCAAATAAAAGTCACAAGTTTTATAAATTCTTATGGAACATTTTATATCATGTTATTGGAGTGCAGCTAATAGAACATCTCAAGTATAATGTTGATACGGTGTACCATACCAATAGTTTTAATCTGAAGAGAAAGGGAGATAAATCTGACTGTCATGTGATAAACATGAAGAGGAAGCTTTGTTGGAAAAAACTAATAAAAGATGGAAAAATCATTGTATGTTTCTGTGTGTAATTTCTGTAACAAAAACCAACATATATTGCAAGAAATTGAAATTGATAGCCACTTGTTCTTAATTCAATCTTCTCTCTTCATAATATTAATCCAGTATTTAGATAGATTTGTGTACAAGTGTAGAATAAAGATGGACATTATATGTCAAGATTGATGTGCAACAAATGTAAATGTAATGTAAGTAGACTGGTATTGGTATTGAGCGTGGCAGAAAATTATGCGTCAATGTATGATATAAAAACCAGAAAGTTACAAGTTTTTTTACAAGCCTTCGTTATCCTTTTACTCATTATTGGTTTTTCATTTCCCAATAAGATTCTAGCAGTTTTTTACTGACTCAGGGAAATTTCTTTAGCTCATTGTAGATCATTATCTGCTCCCATCAGCTGTAAAGCATATCTGTATACACAGTTCCATATCGACTGTTAAGCATATCTGTATACACAGTTCCATATCGACTGTTAAGCATATCTCTATACACAGTTCCATATCGACTGTTAAGCATATCTATATACACAGTTCCATATCGACTGTTAAGCATATCTGTATACACAGTTCCATATCGACTGTTAAGCATATCTCTATACACAGTTCCATATCGACTGTTAAGCATATCTCTATACACAGTTCCATATCGACTGTTGTAACAAAATGAGTAAAAAAAAATGGGTTTAATGGTAATTTTGGAATGGTGTGTATCGTAGAGAGCAGCATCTTAGTTTAAAGTACATCAGGTCAAAAGTCAGTTAATCCCGTGAGTGATAGATAGTTTTATGCACGCCTGATAACGGGCAGTGTACCCAAGTGGTGAAGCACTGTTAGCATATCTGTATACGCCATTATGATTGATCAGGACAGGTAGATGCTTTCTTGTATGCCTCGCGCTGGCGAACACATTTGTAAGTAAACAAGATAAGAAACAATGTATAAGGTAGATCAAAGATGGGAAGTTGATAACGGGTACACCTAGTCGCACGTGCCTTCATAATTAGATGCTCCGGGGGCTGGGTTATTGTTGTCCAATTGAGACTAGGCTTAAATTAAGTATTTGGGTATTATTTATACAAAGATAATAGCCAGCAGAAGTGTAGTCGAGTCTGGGATCGAGTAGCTAGAGAGAGAGTTGGGAGTCTCTATACGGACGTGTTAAGCATATCTGTACGGGCAGAGTCCATATCGACTGTTAAGCGATGGAGTGGGTCCTGGCCAAGTTGGCCCATGGACATTTGTATGTCTCCATATGGACGAGGTTTTTAGTTTTTGTCTGTTACACAGGTGTTTAGTTTTGGTGCCATATCATGATGCTGTATGTTGATTAGGAACTATCTTTTGTAATGGATACTAACGCGAAGTACTAACTATGGAAAACCATTATACGATGAAATAAAAGTTTCGGTCAACCCAAGTAAACACTGTGTTTAGTCATTGTGTTACACTGTTAGGCATATCTGTATACGCAGTTCCATATCGACTGTTAGGCATATCTGAATACACAGTTCCATATCGACTGTTAGGCATATCTGTATACGCAGTTCCATATCGACTGTTAAGCATATCTGTATACACAGTTCCATATCGACTGTTAAGCATATCTGTATACACAGTTCCATATCGACTGTTAAGCATATCTGTATACGCAGTTCCATATCGACTGTTAAGCATATCTGTATACACAGTTCCATATCGACTGTTAAGCATATCTGTATACGCAGTTCCATATCGACTGTTAGGCATATCTATATACGCAGTTCCATATCGACTGTTAGGCATATCTGTATACGCAGTTCCATATCGACTGTTAGGCATATCTGTATACGCAGTTCCATATCGACTGTTAGGCATATCTGTATACGCAGTTCCATATCGACTGTTAGGCATATCTCTATACGCAGTTCCATATCGACTGTTAAGCATATCTGTATACGCAGTTCCATATCGACTGTTAAGCATATCTGTATACACAGTTCCATATCGACTGTTAAGCATATCTCTATACACAGTTCCATATAGGACAGTGAAATAAGGGGCAGTAACTCTTTGCAAATCAGAATAATTGGTGATTGTAGGATTAGAAAATGAGTGGTCCTTCCCAATAGAAGAAGGAAAATATTGATTTCATTTACATTGGTACACTTACAAGTTAAAAAAAAAAGAGTTGCTCCCACAAGCTGCTACCCATCAGAAAGTCAGGACAAGACATTTTCTGGGTCGGGTAGTATGTTACCCTAGTAATATACTGGCTTTTTCTTATTTACACTTGGCTAGGGAAAATGTCAAAATTTCTTATTTAAGAGTTCAACACTATAGAAAACAAGAGCTTCACATGTTTTGATTCCCATTGGAAATATGAAGAGTTGATCTCTGTTGGGCAGGATCTTGATTACAACTTTTTGGATATCAGTAATATAAATTTTACATTTAAGAAAAAATCTGTTGGAGAGTGAAAAGTCATTTATCTAGGGAGAGCTGTGTAAAACATCTTAATATTGAAAAATGATGTGTATTAGAAAAAAATTCTTTCATCGAGAACGAGGGAAATTGAATAAATTGAAAAAAAATATACTTATTGTATATCAATTGATATTGAAAAAAACAGAATGAATTTCATGTTGAACATAATTTTAAAATCAATTTAGTACGAGGGTGCTATGTGTAATCTCAAGATTACTTTACAAAGAATATTTCACAAATACATAATTTAAAATTTTTGTTGGGTAATGAAATTTTGGAATGGCAGTGAGTATAAGAAATGTTTAATTATCAGATATCCATGTGATTGGGAATTTCTTTACTTTGAATGTAGGTATTTGTACATATCATCAAAATCATGAATAGAAGTTGAATTATAATGTTATATTACATAAGTATGTAAATACAAAAAAAATAAATAAATCTGCAAAATTCTTTAGTTGAAATCTTGGTACAGCCATTAGGAGTTTTATGCATGTGTGTAATTATATGATATTGAACCTGACAAAATAGACTTGGTTTCTCGCTGGACCCTTTAAATTCCACCTACCGTCTTATGTTACTGAATTATGTGGAGTTGATAGGTTCAGGAGTAAACACTTGATTGATCCAACTTGGTTGGGGGTGTTCGTGACTATATGCAAATTGTTAGCTATTTGTCAACTTAACAAGTGATTAACATTAAAAACCTTAAGGAGAATTTTATAGTGCAGTTTAAAACATTCACCTTTGGTAGGTGCTCTGAATTGCTTTGAGGGAGAATGTAAAAAAAATGTAAGCACATTTTCAACCTGACAAAACTTGGAAAGGCTGTGCCATATTTTCTGCCTATGCTTCTATCACTAAAAGCATGGTTAGCTTTAAGAAATATTTTGTGTTAAAAAGCTTTCAAATCAAATCAAGAAACTGTGCCCTAATTGCAGTCAAAATATTTCTTTCTTGTTTGTTTTCTCTAATTGAAAACGGTTTTAAGCAAAAATATGTTATCATTTTTATAATTAGCAAGAAAATATTGACAAAACTTGCAAGATCAAAATTTCCATTAAGCTGTCGGGCATGTTTCCCGGAATGATCCTGTGTGGTGACATTTAATGCAATAATAAGTGTTCCTATCAAAGTGCTTCATTACATTCTCACAAGATATGTCTATAAAAGGAGGGATCTCTTGAATCATCAAAGGCCTGTGACTTTGGATATCACAGTTACTGCAGGCCTGTCGAGGACTCTCACCTGTCAATACACAATACCTGTCGCTTCCCTCGTTACAGGTGTCAAAGGTGAGAATTCTGTTTTAATATACCTTTTCTGAGTTTGATATACTGAGTTACGATCTCATCTCTTTACAAAGTGGTCACAAAAGTGTTTGGTTAAGGTGACACAAGCGATTTACCTGTATGCATTAGAGCAAGCTTAGACCCACCTTTACCTGTAATCACAGGTTTTGTGTAGATAACTGGTATTTTAATATGACAGGATAAATTTCAAAATCATTAATGCAAAGATTTAAATGTGATTTATTCTACAAAGAATGTAGATGTAATTTCAGTCGGTTACAGTGGGATTTCAGATAAACTTTTAAGTAATAGATCGTGGTTAAAGCTGTATACCTTCATTAACGGGGACTCATTGCACGAAGTTCAACACTGTACCAGCATCTGAGGATATTTAAAATTGAGGAAAGGATTATGTTTACTTAATGTGATCCACATGTACCAGGATATCACTAGTGACACTGAGAGATGTTAGTTTTATACAATCATTTATCAATAGATTTGTCCTATTTCTTACTAGGAGTTTTCGATTTGTAAACAGGTTGTGGTAATCATAGAACAACTGGTTCTTGCTCTACTTGGCATCTAATCAACATTGTTTTTTTCAACCAATGCATTATGTTGATTTCTATGTTGTTAACCACAGGTGAGACAAAAGCTACAACTTCGGATACGCAGACGCTGGATTCCGCTATGCTTCACAAATACAAAGCCAGGCCATCATTGAACAGGTACATTACAATGTAAAAATCAATTGGGACTAGTCGAAATTGCAGGATATGCCAACCATTTTACATCTGACTTTTTTTTTTTTGTCTCTGGTTGTGTTGTTTAGGCGTGTTCATTATATTATGAGATAATTATATTTATTGACTTGTGGGTCTGCTGGGAGAGGTGTGATCACATTCACAGCACGTTTAACTGTTTAATGCTCTAGATCAGTGTGTACATATGATCTTAGGTGACTACTTTGTCATAAATGTGTTTTCTTAAGTGATTTTCTGGTTTTATCTGTACAGGTATGTAAATTTTCACCTGAGTTATCCTAAATAACATGCAAGTAAATAGCATTTATAATCTTTGTTGTTCAATCTAAAAGTTTCATGTTCTATTTTCAGAAATCTCTGAGGGTCATACTTTTAAAAACTCTTTGTTTAATGATCCAGAATGAAGTTACCAAGGACAAGTCAGGCAGACCACACCGAGACACAGGTAGGCTCAAAATAAGTTGTCACTTTAGATTATAAAAAGCTTGTTGACTTGTTTGTAGCACATAACTATAGGTGATTTCATAACAACATTCATGTTTTGATTTACATAGAAAATTACAGAATCCATGGATAATTTTGTCCGATTTTCACAGTTATTTGGATAAATTGTTATTCTTATTTATAAGTTATGATTTCTTATGGCACCAGTGTTCCCCATTTCTATACCTTTTCAATTCATTGATGATTGTGTGATTTTTAAACTGTTTTTGTATAAGTTGTGGTGTCGCCAAACTCTAATCATCAAATATCCAGGGTGACAGGGTGTTTTAATTAGTTATTAGGGAAAAAGAAAAGTAAATTATATCATAAATGTATATTGTATATTTATCATATTTTCATGTTTTAAGATAATGTTCTATATTATGTTAAAAGATTTTGATCCCATCAGATCCAAAAATTGATTTTGAAATTTTTATTCACTGATCTAAAATGAAAAAATATAAAGAGATGGTAACATTTTTCACAATTTAAGCTAGCCAATATCAGGCTGATCTGACAAATCAGATATGATGGCGACACTGCTTTGTAATACATCCAGTAAGCCAGACAAGGTTTATATAATCTATAAGTAATTTCTTCAGAAATCTAAACAGCTTAAAGTCAAATATGCATACACAAAGATACAGGTTTATACGTAGTTCATATCTGAAGACAATTACTTATAGAATATATCATATCTGAAAATAAAAAATCTAGAAATTGTTTCCAGGTTTTTGTCATCACTGCTTGTGCAATAAAGCTAACAAAGGCATCATGGTATCTAAGAATACAACATCTCTAGACTGAACACAAAAATCATTGAAAATATTTATTTGTGATTTTGAATGATTTAGAATAATAGGAGCTAAGGATTAGAGGGGTTTAGGGGTAACTTTGGGGGTCAAATTTTAGTTTTAATTTCTTTTTAAACCTCTAGAAACTGAAAAATTAGATTTTTTCTGGCATATTTTCATTGATTACAGATGAGTATTGTCACATTTTCCTGAATCTTTCAAACTGTATGTTCCCTTCATGGAAAAGAGAAGACTTTTGAAGGAGAAGGAGTATTTTGATATAGGGGGAGTCTAGAGTGACTTACATTTGTCGTAGGGAGTAGTGACTTACAAATTATGTTCAAATAATGTTTATGCAGCAGGAATGGGCAAAATTTATATATATATACTCGGACTTACAGCATTTGTAAATATACAAACAAGATTTGACTTTAAGTTATATGTGGAAATGAGGTAATCAAAATATGCAAATAATTTGCTTTATTTAGTTAAAAATCTAATTATACAGATTTATTTTATAGATTTTAAATCAGCACTGCATGAGGTACTTTTGCAGTTTTACAACTGTTGTTGACAGAGGACTCAAAATGAATAGGGTTTTTTTGAATGGTTATTAGTTCTTGCACTAAGTAAACTACCTTTTGTCATTGACAGGTAAAATGTACTTTTGAAATGAATGAAAAATTAATATTTCGAAATTATTCTCTTTGAGTCAGGAACATTGTTATATAGAGTGTACCATTAATATGAAATGAAGACAAGTTTTAAAAAAATTAAATTGTTTTGGTAGGTGAGACAGAGAACCTATAAAATCATTACTTATGAATAATTCTGTTTGAATTATCATATTCTATGTATGATTTACACTGAGATAAGGGGACGAGTAGGCCTACTGTAAAATATCAATAAAAGGTAAAAACATTTTATGATAGATTTTAGTTTGTGTCAATATTTTTGAGATCAGAGTAAATAAAAAAGAACACATTGGATACAATATAAAATATCTTTTAACAGACAAGCATTTGCATTGGTGTAAAGGAATCACATGACCTAATTGAAAATTAAACAAGAGTAGAGATCCATTGATATCAATTGTTAATTCCAATTAGCTTAACGGTATATAATTCATGTAATGATCAGAGTTGGACAACTCTTTTAATGATCAAGAGGCAATATTTGAAAAAAATCAATAGTACTGGTCCATATTCGGAAACATTCCAAACTATTTCCTGTGTTTAAACTGATGAGGTAACCACAAGCTATTCCATTCTATCCTGCTTCAGGCAATGTCCTTTACAGTCTTTCCCCTTGTTATGATGTTCCTTGAGAACACTATCCGCCCCCATTGACTGCCAAGCTTATCACTTTACTATTCCATCTGATAATGTAAAATGAAGGGAAGTAACTCTATGGGATTAATCAGACAAGAATTATTTGATTGTCGCCGAAAGTGCCCGTGAAAGCTGATCAGACAAACTGTTAACTATTCCTAGAGGTTGTTGGAGTAAATGACACATGGGTGCATTATCAGTAAGTTTAATATTGGTCTGCTGAACTGATGTGTTAATGCAGAATTTCTTAATGTTCTTCATAGAAATCAAAGTAGTTGACATACTAATCCTGTCAATGTCACTCATGTAGAAGTATATATAGTAAGGTCAAAGTATGACCATTTAGCTAATGGAATCAGGTCAAAACTTGATGTAACTGTACTGCAGAATCTATCATGGTGGTCTGAATCTGTCTTGTCCTGTAGTAATCATAGTAATATGTTATATATTATGAAAATCTGTTTTTTATTTGCGTGAAAAATGGTTACACTATATTTGAAATCTAAACAGTGCTTTCTCATATGATGAACATACTGTTACTATTTGTAGTGTCTGCAGGAGTGGTTGTGAAAAACAAGTCATTCTGATAATTTGTCACAATCACTCTTAGAAGTCTACTTGACATCAGGAAATATCTTCCCTAATTTTAAAATTGTTCCAGACATGAGCTGATAATGACATCTATTTATGATTATGTTTAATAATTCAATACTTCCAGATAAAGATATTTTAGAGAGATAACCCTCAAGAAAATCTCTGATATACCAGTTTATGTATAAAGTAGCAAGTAACCTGATTGGTAGAATTCACCATAATACTGAATTTTATAACAAATTTTGTGTTAAAATTTTTTTAAAAATCCATGCATTGATACTTTAAAATCAGATATCTAATGTGAGTTTCATCAGATCCCGACGTTAATAGCCCATATCATTTCTGAAATAGAACTCAAGATGGAATCCTGATATGCTGTCTTACATAGAAGATATGTATGGTAAAACATAAAGATTAATATTAATATTATCCTGATGAACTGATGGTTTTCTAGTGTCAGATAATTCCAAAGTTAGGATTAAAAAACTTTACAGGTTCTAACAATAGAACAAGGGAATCCCAAAAACATGCTGTGAAATGAGGAGAATAATTGTAAACAGGGTCAGGGTCCCAATAGGGGCCATTCTGATGACCTACATATGCATCAATGGCTTCTGTATACAGGACTTTAGTTCCATCAAGATATTTGCATCATAAGGAAATAATGTTAAGGAACTGGTGATAATATAGATTCAGGTAGGCTGATCAATAGGCAGAACCAATAAACAATTAATATACCATATTTGTCCTCATAAGCACACTGTGCTTAAAAGCACAAAAAACATATGTGGTTTACAGCACTGATTATAGGATTCTGCATGAAAATTTGTTAGCAGATAATACAATGCATATTTGAACATTTACGGTAATAGTTGGGAGGCAAAGTTTTAAAAAGATAAATATTGTATCGTATAGTTGTTGATTAGTGATTTAGATAACATTTTTACTGATGTTAATAAAGCTTACCTAGTCTCAATTTCTCCTTAAAGAGGTTGGACTGGGCTTACAAGGGCAAGATTATGAGGTGCATATATTAGGTTGAATACAGCTGTTCCCTAGTGATATTGCTTTCTCTAAATTGATATTTTTAGGTTTAGGGCTAACACTCAAAATTAATATTTGATCATGTGTTTCTGTTTGAAATATTTAAATCGATATAATGTTTTGAAATAAATTGCTGATCATGTTTCTAATGATTTCTGTATGATACTTATAACAGTACATGAATTGTAATATGTTCATCCAAGTCTTTCCAGTTTAAATATTTTATAGAGCATTGAAAGAAGCTTCATGAATGATTATATCTAAAGTATAGATTTTTTGTCTGTGTGAAGTCGCAATTGCATTGTTGGAGATTATAAAAAAAAACTATATTTTTTATGTTTACTTAAAAAGGAACTTGTATATAAATATAAGATACCTGGGTACAGGGGTGATCACACTGCGACACATGTAACAAACATCATGTACACACTTTGGGGTGAGGAGATGTGCCACACTTAGTTTGCTTCCTTAGTTTGTGTGATGTTAGGTATCTGATAATAATTCAACCCATATTAACTGTTGTTAAGCTAAGAATTGCTCATGAATCTGATTTGAATGTCCTTTAATCAGCTAATCAACTGACTTGTTGTCAGTGGAATGTTGCTCTCATTCCCTGACTTTGATGCCAAGGAATGTCCTCTCATTCCCTGACTTTGATGCCAAGGAATGTCCTCTCATTCCCTGACTTTGATGCTGAGGAATATTGCTCCTCTTCCCTACTTGGGCTTATAACAGAATAAATACATTAATTGGCAACTTTAAATAGCTTGGCTATCTGTGTACAATGTTTTTCAATAAAACTCAAAACAAATATGGTGTTAGGTTGGGTGATTCATGCCAAAATTCTGAGGCCTGCATGTAGAAAACATGAGACAATTTTTTGCATTTGTTTAAAGGTTACAACAAAGATTAAAGGGAGGGCTAGTTATAACACTTCAATGTTGGTGCTTTATTTAACTCATTATGTATAATTAATCATTGTATGGATGTAAGCCTTTTAAGAAAATTAAATTTAAATCTGAATGAAGGATTTCATGTTCCATAATCCTACAATTACATGTTGAACAATGGATGTGCACATGATAGTATGACTGAAGTTGTTGTTGGACATGGGTATGTGGTAGGTCTAAGAAAACAAATAACAGATATTCAAATTAACAAGTTCTTCACTTTTTATGTATGTAGTATTTAAAATGTTT